CCATTTCGGATGAGATCTCTGAGGGCATCCCAAGATGATTCCGAGAAAGGGAGCTCCCAAGAGGCCAAACGTTTAGCGAGGGCGAGGTGGAGGACGTCGGGGTAGAGGGAGAGACGTAAGGAAGAGGAAAAGGATCTCTGCACTCTCACGCGCCCCTGCCCCGAGGCTTCGGCAAGGGCAACGAGGGCTGCGCGGGCGGCAGAGGCATGAGCCTTGAGCGGGAAGGCGGCCCTGCTGGCCTCAGAAAGGTGGACCACAGTCGGCTTGGTCCTCCAGAGCGATGGCGACCACCAGCCAGTGGCCATCTCCGCCAAGCTGCCGAAGGCGAGTGTGGTCTCGCGCAGCGCTTTGTGCAAGGTCGACCAGTTAGTCACAGCGCCCAAGGCCGCGCGCACACGCGTGGCCAAGCTGAGGACCTGCAAGCTGGCAGGCCGCAATGACGACCGGCTCCCGACGCCGAGAAGCCCGGCCAGCGAGAGCGACTGGGGCGGCAGGTGCCAGAGCTTGTGCCACGCCCAAGCCCCCCGTCTGACCAGTGCGCGGGGCAGCGGCATCAGCTGCATCAAGTAACTGAGGACAGTAAGCACACGCGAGTTGTAGATCACCGTCGTGAGGTGCACAGGCGCACCCTCATGGGCGAGGACGCGGATGCGGTGGATCCATGTGGCTCCCGCCTCCTGCCACACGTCGTCGATCGTGGCGCCTGGGCCCAGGATGCAGCCGAGGTACTTGGCGAATGGAACAACGTCCATCTTCTCCCAGCCTGGCAGCTCCAGCGCGAGCCACTCCTTGATGCTGTCCGCCAGCTCCTCGGTGAAGGGGGCATTCAGGGGCACCCCCTTGCACTTGGTCAGCTTGAGGGCCAGACCTGCTAAGGCCTGCGCCGCAGCGAAGACCCTGCGAAAGCGGAGCAGAAGCGTGCGATCCTGCAAGACCGTGCCAACATCGTCGGCGCAGACGCCCAACACGGAGGTCTCCCATTTTACCAAGATCTCCTCCATGTGAGCCACGAAGGGGTTCATGGCGACGGCCCACAAGGACCCCGAGAGCGGGCAGCCCTGCGCGATGCCCGCCGTGACCATCATGAAGCGGCGCAGCTCGCCATCCAGGGACACGTAGGCCTGTGGCAACCAGTACATGCCCATGATGAGCTGGTAGAGGCCGCCCTGCAAGCCCGTCCGCAGCAGCACCGCGCGCAGGAAAGACACCGCCAGGGAGGGGAACGCGTTTCCGAAGTCGAAGAGGACCATCAACGGCATGCGCTGGTCCCTGGTGGAGGAGAAGCCATCCCGACGTGCCGCGGTGTCGAGCAGGGTAATGTTGTCCAGGAAGTTGCGCACAGGCAGGAACCCCCTCTGAGAGAGGGGGGAGTGGCGCTCGATGTCAAACTTGATGAAGTGGTTCACGCTGGCGGCCAGCAGCTTCACGTCCGTGTTCTTGAAGACCAGAGGCCTCGTCGTGGAAGGCGTCCGAGTCGGGCCCGAGGCAAGATCGTCAGCCTCGGCACCTCTGGGCAGGAAAACCATCAAGTGGCCATTGAGGTCGGGAGGGGGCGGGAAGCCCTGCGCGATCTCAAGGCCCACCTGCGCTAGGTCCTCCAGGGGCCGCGATGACCCGCATCAGCTCCAAGCATCGCACGGCAGCCCGTCAGGTCCTGGAGCTGATGCACGAGCTCTGCGCGCCGCTCGCTGAAGACCACGGGAGTCAGGGAGATGAACGTCCTCAAGGCCATCTATCACCACAGGATGCTCGTCCAAGTATCTTCTCACCAGAAGGTGTTCGGGGAGATCACGTTGAAATATCGGCGACCAGTGCTTGCGCAATTCTTCAAACACATCCGCTTGGGCATTCACGATCCTCTCCTCCTCCAACTCCAGACCGTTCGCAACTCCCGACTCAGGATGACGCAAACCCTGAAGTTTAAGTGTGCGCTTGAAGGGAGTCCAGAGCGCTGCCCTTCGTCTGGTGGCACGTCTCATGACGTTTACGCACTTGAACGAGGTGCCGTCAGGGGGAGCCGCTTGAGCCCGCCGATCGAGATCTGCGAGACGACGTTCACTGTAGAGGTTCTGCTCGGCCGCGAACGCCTCAGCGAAGGCCGATGGGGTTCGAGAGGGAGACCGAGGTGCTGGTAATGATCAGGTGATCAGCTGCGAGCGGTGACGAAGCGATAAGACGCTCCGCCAGTATGATGTCGCCCCTCCAGACCGCCCTGGCGACCGAGCGGAAGATCGTTGTCGTGTGCCCCATGCTTGAAGATACTGTCGCGAACGCGTCGAGCTGCCTCCCGCATGAGCCTCTTATGATCCTGCCTGCGTTGATAAGGATGAAGAACGTGCCACGATACATGTTGAGCCAGGAGCAGGTATTGCCTCGCATACTCGGGGCTCCTGAAAATGTGCCGCGGGATTGGTTGCGACTCACTGTCCATCGGGGGCTGGCCAGCGAAAGTAACCACAATCGGCGCGTGGTCACTGAGGCCAATCTCACGCAGCCTTTCTGGTAGATCACGCGTCGAGAGCGTAATGTGCCACTGCATCGCCAACCACGAGGGAGAAGCCAGGAATGCTCTGTCGATCTGCGACAGCTTCGGGGGCGACCCCTCCTCTTGCCAGAAGTGCGCGGGGAGCTCGTTGTCGAGTTCGACGAAGTCATGGAAAATAAATTTCCAGCGGCGCTCTAGTGGCCGAGGCGCAACGTTATTCATGCTCACGAGGCCCTTGTTGATGAGAGGAGCCTGGATCAGCAAGGGCGGCGCGGCCGAGATGTTGAAGTCGCCAAGCAGCAGCAGCGTGACCATCGTCGGTGCCGACTTAGCCATAGCGATGTCAGCTCGAATCCGTGCCTCGATCTTTGTCATCTCCCCGCCGCTGATGCCGAAGTTGTGGACGTTGTAGATGATGAGCGATGGAATGGGGGAGTCCGATGCAGGGCCTGATACACGTAGTCGCTGGACCCGACCAGAGACCAGAATCTCGCGAGAGTACCTTGGGGCTTCTGTAGCCGCGAACCGACCAGGGAGAAGAATAACAGTACCGCCAGTGTCACGCCTGCTGCAAAAGTCCATGAAGACCTGTGCATAGATATGATGGCGGTGAAGTTCTTGCATGAGTTCGCTAGCATTACCATGGACCTCCTGTAGGCACATCGCTGTGCCCTGTTTGAGATACGATTGCAGATGACGAAAGTTGCGGTCTCGGGTGGTGGCATCATGGTGCACAAGTGCTCTAGCGTTCCATGACCCGATCGCCGCACAGTCACGGAACTCGCCAGGATCGCACCAAGGCGCGAAGCGAGTGCTAAATAGCCCACTGGATCCTCTCAGCGGGGCCGAAGATCTCGTCGAAGGACTGCTTGAGAGCATCGCGAGGGAGATTGCGATCATGAACAGCACGATAGTTCCACTGGAGGACAGTCGGGTCCTCAGCCGCATCGCCCACGACCAGCTTGACGATGGGCTGCGAGCCGTCGCTGACGACTCCTGCGTGTCGGTTGGCGCGCCAGCGCCCTTCCACTCCAGAGTTCCGCGCGAGCTCGAGGAAGCGCTTCGTCTGGATCTCGCGTCGGATGGCTTGAGGGGACTTGTCCAGGCCGACGAAGATGGGGACCTGAGCAGCGCCCTCGCGGGAGGCCGCCGTGAAGCGGCGCCAGGTGCCATCCTTCTTGAGCTCCTGGAAGACCGAAACGACACGCCGCGCAGCCAAGCCCTCGGCGCCGTGCATGCGAAGAGTGAAGCGGCGGCCAGGGGATGCACCTGCGAGAGACCAGTGCTGATCCTCAAGGTCGGTGTCCGCCAGCCATGGGCGCACACTCGCAAGGACCGCCTCCGTGGTGACCGCCTCCTTGGCCGTGATGATGAAGACGGACTTGTCAAGCTCCCTGGTCCAGTCGGCCACGTCTCCGAGGTGCATGGCAGGGGCAGCCGCCTCGCATGCCGAGACCACCTTTTCCAGCTTCGCCAGGGCCTCGCGCATCTCGTGCTGGTCACGCTGGATGCGTGAGACGCCACGGTCGAGATCCTGCAGGTGCTGGTCGATCTGTGCGTTCTTGGCGGCCTGGCGCTCGCCGAAGATGCGAAGAGCAGCTGTGGTGGACGCAGCGATGTTGGCAGACATCTTGTTGTTGGCGTCGGAGACTAAGTCGACGATGGAATCGCGCATAGCCCCCAGGATCCCCTCCAGCTCCGAGTGCAGGACGGGCGCGCCTGCCGCCGCAGCAGGAGCCACAGCAGGCCGAGGGGAGTCATGAGCGCGATGGGGATGAGCTCTGAGACGGCCGCTGCTGCGCGGTGTCCGAGGGGTCGCTGGAGGAGTGGCTGCGATCGGCGTGGCCGAGCCCTGGCACTCATCCCCGCGAGCACGCCAAGGGTCGGCGCTGGCAGACTGGAAGGGGTCGTCCGTGCCAGCGCTGCGGCTGCGATCATTGTCCTCACGAGGGCTGCTGCACCGACGTTGGCTAGCACCAAAACCACCAGAAGTTTCGCCCGCATTGCCTGGCCGCCGGGAGAGAGAGAGAGGCCGCGCCATCGGGCATCCCACCCGCTGGGGTGAGGCGGGTGAAGAACGAGGGCGCGGAGGGCTGGGGCCCAGAAGGGCAGCACGGGTCACGATTGGTGAATGAAACGTTGGCCTCAAAGCGCGAACCCCCTCGCGCTCATCAGTCGCCGACCGAAGCCGACTCGCGGTCGTCGGGCGGTTCATAGCCTTGAGCCAAAACGGCTACGGATACGTATTATGCATGTATGTGTGTATGTATGCATGCATGCATGCATGTATGCATGCATGCACCGCATTGCATTGCACTGCACTGTGCGTCTGCGTTGCCTTGCAATGCATTACACTGCAGTGCAGTGCAGTGCGGTGCATGGCATGTATGTAGTATGTATGTATGTATGCACCGCTATGTCGTTCAACTCCCACTAAGTCCTTCACAGCTGCCCACTCACCCGCACCCACCTTCGCCACCGTCGGGGTTGCCCTCCCACCGATCTCGCCGTCCATACTGCCACCACAGTTTCTGGCAACCCCTCGTGGCCAATCTCTCCACGGTCCAGCACCACCCCGTTTTAGATCCTGCCGCCACACTCAATTGCACGTGAACCATGTCTGTGAGCACCTCCATGTCTGATGGTCCGTGTTGTCACACGTTAACGAATTTCTGAATGGATTCGCTGTCATCGGCGCGCTTCCCACTTGAGAGAAATTGCGTAACTGTCGCAGGTCATGAGGCATTTCGTATCATCGGCACCTCTCAGTCAAAATCTGCGAGTGATGATATTGACCCTCTGGGAATTATTGTTCACATTCTCTCCTGAACCCTTCGTAAATGCTCGGCTCCTGCTCAAAACCTGGAAATTTCCCCAAAACCATGCGGCAACATCCAGAAACTTCACACAAACCCCCTCCCCACCACAAAAAAATATTCCTCTGTCCGCCTCGCCCTCATCCTCCTCTTCCAACTCTCTGAAAACCCGTCAGACCCCAGCGGGACTCTAAGCATCTTCTAGGGACTCCTGCCACAAGGCCGCCCCTCAAAGAAACGTACACCATCCATGCACCCTCGTCTTCGCGTCACCCTCCCCGTGCAATCAAACCCATGCACCTCTCCTGGAGCATGTTCTGACAAGGATGTCGGGGCTGGCCCCGAAGAGGAAACGGAATATCAGAAAACGTCATCCTGCTCCTCCTCTACCTGCTGGCGCACAGGCTTTCCACAAAGGCCGCCCGCACACTCCTCAAGAGAGCAGGAGCAGGATGCGCACCAGAAGCAGCAAGAGCGCGGGCGGGGCAAGCCTCGTGATCGTGGTCCTCCTCCACAGACATCCGACGTCGTGTTTTTGTGTGTACAAACTGGCCACCAAGACCCAAGGATTCTGAACCTCTTCCCGGGGAGCGGCCCTTCATCCCGAGACGATTTTTGACGGCCCCAAAGACTGGGCCTGTGGAAGCCGAAGGTTGCCGAAAACCTACCGTCGTGGTTACCCACGACGCAAAGAACTGAGGGTCCTCCTCCTCCTCCTCCTCCTCCTCCTCCTTCTCCTCCTAATCCCGCCTTCTCGGCCCGTCCCCTCTTCCCACAGCGCGCTGGCCTGCGTCAGGGTACGCCGGCGCTCGTCGGCAAGGCAGCCCTTCCTCGCGGCGCGAAGCCACAGCTAACTCTCGTCCTCCTCCTCCACCTCGTCCTCATCCTCCTCCTCATCATCATCCTCCTCGTCCTCCTCCTCGTCCTCCTCCTCCCTCCTCCCCTCCGCATCCTCCTCCTCTTCCTCTTCCTCCTCCTACTCCTCCGCCACCTCCTCCTCCTCCTCCTTCTCCTCCTCCTCCTCGTCCTCCTCATCTTCTTGTATTATGATTATTATACTTCCTATTCTGATTACTAACACTCATACTAATGTATGCTGATTGTTAGTCAGATTCGTGTCATTATTCCTTTCATTATTACTAGTATTCCTCTTTTTCCTCCTCCTCCTCCTCCTCCTCCTCCTCCTCCTCCTCCTCCTCCTCCTCCTCCTCACCCCCCCATCCTTCTTCCCATCCTGTTGCTCGAAGAGGGAGGGAAGGGCAGAGCAAGGCAAGCTGAGGTTTTCGAATGCTCCACGAGGTTCTAAGAGCCTGAGAAGGGAGAAAAGTGGCTGGGAGAAGGGGAGGGAAAGGATAACTCCATTCCTTGTCCTTGTAATAACTCCTCCCTGTCGCACCCCGAGACGCGTGGGTAGGGCGGGCCCAGCGTTTCGCCTGAGCTCCCCTCACCGAGTAGGATGCTGAAACTGAAGAATACAAGAGCTTCACCGATTGAGGGCGGGTCCTTTTCAAACATGTGGGTTCTGCCTTAGCGCCGCGCACATTCGTCTTGAAAGTTCGCCAGCGCTTCGCTGATGGATGGCGGGTCAATATCAAAATGTGAATCTCGCCCCAGCGCCGCGCACGTTCGTGTTCAAACTGTGCAAGAGCTTCACGGATGGAGGGCGGGTCGCTTTCAAAATGGAGCGCTCGCATGAGCGCCGCGCACATTCGTCGCAAAAGTGCGCAAGAGCTTCAGGAATGGAGGGTGCGTTGTTTTCACATGTGGCTGTCGCTATAACTCTTCAGACACTCACCTTAGAGTTCGCAACAGTATCAAGGAGTCTTATGGTTGACATCCCTGGAACTGCATTCTGGCACGAGTCATGGTTGAGATGGCGCAACAGTTACGTTGGTTGGCTGTGTTGAAGTCCCAGGAATGGTGCTCTTCCACGGTAAGATCGTCAGGACATGGCAGTAACGTTTATTCGCGGCGCTGATGTCCCAGGAATTAGGTTTGGCACGATTGAGGATTCTCAGACGTCGTCTTCCAACGAGGCACTTCCCACAATGCAAGTGAGTTCTTGTAGGGGCCTACGAAAAGGGAACTTGGGGGGAGGGTGAATTGCAACATCGTTGGTGCACCTTGGGTTTACGCTGGTCCTCCTCACCCTCCTCCCTCCCCTTCTCTTCCCCTCCTCAGTCCTCCTCCTCCGTCCTCCGTCCTCCTCCTCCACCTCATTCTCCCTCCTCCTCTCCTCCTCCTCCTCATCGTCCTCCTCATCATCATCATCCTCCTCCTCTTCCTCCTCTCCATCATGATCAACAACCACGCCATCATCCTCATCAGTATCAGCATCATCATCCGCATCATCAACATCAGCAGCAACAGCATCGTCGTCATCAACATCGTCATCGTTGTCGTCATTATTATCACCATCAGCATGATCATTACTATCAGCATCATCAGCATCAGCATCAACATCGGCATCATCATCAGAATCATCCTCGCAATCACCATCATGACCACCATCATCCTTATCATCATCACCACCATCACCATCAGATCATCATCAACATCATCAGCAGCAGCAGCACCAGCATCAGCATCACCACCATCACCATCACCATCACCATCATCATCACCGTCGCCATTAGCATCATCAACAGCAACATCACAATCACCGTCATCACAATCACCATCACCATACCGTCATAATCATCATCAACCGCAGCGTCATCATACTCATCACCAGCACATGCATCATCATCACCATCAGCAGCATCAGCATCACCATCATCATGCTCATCATCTATGTCATCCTGCTACTGCTCTCCTCCTCATCATCTCCCTCTTCTTCCACCTCGTCCTCCTCCTCATCCTCCTCCTCGTCTCCAATTGGGCCTCTCACGTCTCCTCTCTCCGGCGATTATGACGACGACGATTAGGGCTCATACCCATCCGGATGCTGGGAGCTGGAAGCTGAGCCAACAAGGAATAGCAAAAGCGGCGCGGAGGACGGAGGACGACGACGGCGACAAGGAGGACCCCGACGACGACGACGACGACGACGACGACGACGACGACGACGACGACGACGACGGCGACGACGGCGACAACGACGACGACGGCAAAGAGGACAGGGAGGAGGAGGACGACGACGACAGCGAGTTAACGACGACGAGGCGGAAAACAAAAAGAAGGAAAAGAAAAAGGAGCAGGAGGGACGACAACAACACAGTGCCCACCACGATGACGACGACGACGACGACCACGACGACCACCACGACGACGACGACGACGACAGTGATGGTCTGAGGCCTTCTGGTGAGGACGGTGCGTTGGCAACCAGGTGGCGGGGGGAAGAGGCAGGGGAGAAAGGGGGAGAGAGATTAGAAGGGGGGAGGGGGGAGAAGGGAAAGAGGGAGGGGAAAAGGGGGTGAAGAGGGAGGGGAGAAAGGATGGAAAGAGGGAAGAAACAAGGAAAGGGTAAGAGGGGGAATAAGGATGGATGGGGGGAGAAGGGGAATAAAGGGAGGAGGAGCACAACGGCACGGGAGTCGAGGGGAGGAGGAGGAACGCAGAGAGGAAGAGGATGAGGAGGAGAGGAGGAGTGGAGAGGGGAGTGGGAGGGAGAGAGGAGAGAGGAGGAGGGGGAGGGGAAGAGATGATGAAGCAAGGACTGGAAGGGAGAAGGGGTACGGGGAGGGGAGGGAAGAAGGACGGACGAGAGAGGAGGGATGAGACGAGAAGCAGGAGGATGAGGAGAAGGGGGGAGGGGGAAGCGGAGGAGGGAGGGATACATACTAATCTGCGTTGTTACGATGTCGGGGGGGGGGGGGGCAACAGACCGAGCGATGGCTGGGCCTCGTCATGGTAGCAATTCGCAGCGACATTGGTGCCCGAAGGTCCGATACACTACAAATGCAAACGCCTCATCGGACCCGAGGCCAGGCCGTCTAGGAGCTGAAGCACGCTGCCCAGTCGTTCAGGGATGCCTTTGACACCGTCAATCCAGGCAGCGCTTCCAAGAGCAGAATAGACATGGCAAGTATACCAAACGAATGAACACACATGAACAGTACCTCTACGACCACCCCTCGGATGGTAAGGAGGCTGGGGATAGGAAAAGGAACCAACTGCTGGCAACTGCGATGGGTGTGATGGTGGCGATGCTTGTGGTGCGCTCTCGAGTTGGCAACGACGTGTAATGACGACGTTGCGCCGCGATGTTATGCCACTATCACCTTTGCTAAAAATCTCACTCGATCGATCCCACTATCGACCTCACGGCCAGTCTTAGTATCGATGGATCCAGCGATGGACCCCAGAAGCAATCTCACACTGAGTTAGCGATCGATCCATTATCGATCCCACTAGCGATCTCACTATCGATCTTACGATCGATCTGACTATCGATCTCACTCGACCGATCTCACGATCGATGTCACATTCGACATCTGAAGCGATCTCAGGCGATCTCACAATCGAGCTCACAATCGATTCCATTCTCGATCTCACTGTAGATCTCGCAATCGATCTCACTATCGACATCACTATCGATTGCATGATCGATGGCACCATCGATCCCACTGCCGCTCGCACGATCGATGCAACTACCGATCTCAAAATCGACCTCACTATCGATCCAACTATCGATTTCAATACCGAGCCCACCACATTTCGGTCGTTATCGATCTCACGATCAATCTCACTATCG